TTTGCCAGTGAGAGCTGGATGTTCAAGTTCAGGGCCTTTATGTCTATTCAAGTGAACCCAAAAACTGCTTTTCCTGTTTGTTTTTGTCAGCGGGCAGCCCATGCGACTTTCTTCAATGCTAGATCTACTACTACTAGTACCCACAGTTACCCCTAGTAGTGTACATCTGTTAGTACTATTAGTACCATACCTCATCTGATTTTTTTGTCCTACAAAATTCTCAGCAGTCTCCTGAGAAGCCACATTTCTGTTGCTTTTATCTTATCCTCGCTGTTTTTAGTGACTGTCCAGCATTCACAGACATTAAGAAGTGTTGACCACGTACAGAATTTCAAAACGTTCATTTTGGTAGTCACTGATACCGTAAGTTTCTTTCTATTTTTCAGGATTGGGCGCATATATTGAAACGATCTTTAGCCATTGCAATTCTTCGTTTTATTTCTATGGAATATGATTTGGCATAAAATGTATATTATAGGTATATTTAAACCGATGAACATATTTGATATTTTCGCTTTTGTTTATGAGATTACAAATAGTCTAGAAATAAAACAAATCGTGCTGGTAGCAACAGCCTACAACGACTAAAAACATTAATATATAATATATAAATAATGTGTGTGTGTAGGAAAAAGGTGTGTTTGTGTGGAGGGGGGGGGGGGTAACTTTTCGGTATCTTGTTACTTCACTCAACAAATTCAAATATATGATTTATAAAAATATAAATAATAAAAATTCACCCCCCCTTTAAAAAAAAAAAAATCTTACTTCAGATCTGTTAGCTTTCATAAAAAAAATAGCCTTCTGTTTAACCGTTTTCAAAGCTCAACACGTTTTAGAAAGAAACTCAATGATACGTGCATGAATCAGCAGTTTTATTCTCAGTGCTGATCCCACCAGAATGGAACCATTAACTTTTGAAGAAATGGCTCTCTTTTCCAAACACAATCATTTGAGATTGACTTGGAACTTCTGATGGCTCATTGCCGTCGAAAAACTGCATTTTGACATTTAGAAGATACCTACAGCGATAAATAGGTCTGGTATAGGGGCTTAATAAATACTGTCAGGCTTCCTGTCAAACTCTGGACTGGATGTCATGCTGACTTGACATATTTCAGTGGCCAAAATCCAAAAAAACAAACAAACTTTGAAACACTTCAGATAATAGTGTTTGTGCCTGGAGAAAGGTCCCACTTGTTGGGCGAAAAGGCCAAAAAGTAGTACCTGGTAAAAAATTTAGTTCCATCAGTAAACACATGTTTAACAATTTCTTAATAACTACATATAGATCTAGATTCTATATGGAAATAATTTAAAACTAATATTTTGTCTAAATATTTAAAAAAAAAATTTTTTTCCGGTAGCAACATGTAGGTTAAAAATGTGCCAAAAATTGGGTCAGTATACTAAGGTTAAAGCCGTTTCCCCCTAAACTTCTGTATTTTACGCCATGTGTCACAAAATGTGGTGTATCTTAAAAGCTACTCAATATGTTTGAAACATTTAAAATATCAGCGTGTTCACCATTGAATTTGCCACAAGTACGTGCCCTTATTTCAATATATATACACATCCAAAATTTCTGACAACTGAAACTTTACTTCAAGCACACATTATTATACATGATAGAACCATTTACCAATTCAGATCAACATGGCATAGAAAATACAATTAAGGGTGCCTTAGGTGTATGGAATAAAAACAGCTCCCGAGGTGATATAAAACACAAGAATGCCAGCACCGTTCCTTCACACTAAGTTGAGATCAAACTATAATGCTAAGCTCGGGATCCAGTATCAGTATACCGCGGAGTCTGAGCAATCTTCGCCCTCCTGTATAGATCTACCTGGAAATTGCGACTCATCTTTAGGCGGTATGAGTATGACACAAGGGGAGCTCTTATTATTTATTATGCTCAGATGAGCGTTTGTGTTGTTCATCAAAAGTGTTACATTCCAAGCTTTACGAGTCAACACATCACCTTACCACCAATGGTGTATGGTGTTTAGGTTTAACACCTCTATCAACACTATTACTATTAGCAAGATATGTAAGAGGCGGGACTTCCGAGCCGTCAATCTACGAAAGGACCGAGCGAAATGGGATATTCGTGTAAAGTGCTTTGCCTGGATACAACATCGGACCGAGTTGAGGCTCGAATCCCCGAACCCTCAGTCTCACGATCATGGGTCCAGTGGCCTAACCACTATCACTAAGCCGCCAACGCCACTACCTTACCTCCAAGAAACTCTGCATGCGAATTGGTTTTAAACCATTTTTGTCTCTTCAACTTAGCGACGGTTAAGCAGAATTCATGTATTTAAACGAGCGTTTAAAATTAAAAAAACACTGCACTCTTATTTATGAAGGCAGACGTTCATTATAAGCCATTACTTCGAAAGCAGACGCTTCCAGAGATGAGAGTGAAAGCAAAACAAAAGAAAACAGGGAAATATGTAAAAGTAACATAACCATATAATACATGTATGTCAAGCGAGTCAATCCAAAATGAAAGGAACATGGGCATAGTCCTATAAATAAAAGCTTGTGACTGTGACGGCTTTACCGTCACTTGCTAAATTACTTCAGGCTTCCTATCGTACGAGCATAGTAAAAATTGTCCTACTATCTTCTGTTATCACCCTGTATGGTATACATGTGTATACAAATGTATTTACTTGAATCACGCAATGGTTTCTTTTGGACACCCTAACAAAATTGCACTCTTTTTGGCCAGAAACTCAAGCAAAGGTACAGGGTTATGACTGACAATGTAAAGTTAATGTTTCTTAACAGTTTTTCTTTAGCATTTTATGACTTCAGGCGACTGTAGCTTCAAGCCATACTGCAAATGATTTTTTTGGATTCTTTTCATCCTATAGTTGACTACGGATGAGTTGATGTCTTCGTGGGAGTGAAAAAATAATAATATTCACTCATTCGAAGTTCAACATAACTGTTGGCACCTGTAGAAGAAGTGCATGGACCCGAGAAAAAAATCAACTTAACTGAAGATCAACTCATGCGAGTTCGACACGAGCAGAGTCGGCTGTAGAATGGAGTCTCTTGCCGGTCAGTCAGACACCCACGAGTTGTTTTTTAAGATAATTTTCTGGATTTAAATTGATCAGAGGGTACCTTTAACATTTGTACAATCTACATATTTTAAGAATTTTGCCTGGGCAGCGGGCCCTATAGCTTGTTCACTTTCGTCTGACTGGTTAAAACGAGATTAAAAACAAATTGCTTTGTTTATTCTTTTCAGATCTTTGCATACGTGTCTCAAAGTTGGATGACCAACAGAATCTAAAAAAAAAAAAGAAGCCTTTTCATAAACTTCACTGCAAACTAAAGTTCTGCCACGTTTTCTTTGATGTTAGCCTACAGCTGGTCCCCCCCCCCCCTAAAATAATAGGGGATTTATGGCATACACATAAAACTGCAAAAAGTTGACATGTTTTACTCAACACCACACTTTAGCGAGTGCTTAAGACACACGGTCCAGCAGACGTATCAGTACTTGTGGAGACGTCTAGATGGCCATGGGGTGAAAACTACAAGCTTACACTGAAATATCGGGGCACGGAGATGCCGCTGTCTGATAATGAGCAACTTGTAGGCTAGGTCAAAGTAAGTTATTTAATTCAGTGATCCTGTGCATGCCCTAAAGAGCGGTTTTTAATATATATATATCCAAATAGAGAGACATTTTTATTAGTGATCAAAATTTGTTTTACAAATATTTTTATTAGGTTGCTGGCCTGCAGAAGTGCCAAGCAAAGTTTCACGGAATTGGTAAATAAATAAATGAGCTGGAATTTTTTTAATGCAGACAGACGAAACTGAACAAGCTATAACAAACTTCCCTCCTCTTTGACCTGTAATGGCCAAAGAATCTTTACTGTGCTAAAGGAACCTCCTAAATTCTTCATCTTTATCCAAAAAGATTCTGTAGTATGCACTTGATTCCATTTTCCCATGGAACAGTGGTATAAAAATCAGGAGAAGGAATTTCAAACGTAACCACTGACCAATGCAATGTAAACTGGGAGTAAAACCAGATTCTTTGGTGCGAAAGGTAAGCACAGGAGCCCCTATTTTATCTCTGGAAAGAGTGCCTCTTTGCCTCTTTTCCTTTTGAAAATGATTTGGATTTGGTGTTGAAAGAGCACCTGTTATGCCTTTGAAACAGCTTGCATGAAAAAGGATATACAATAAACTTGATTTCAACAACCCCCGTCCCATGCTTATCTGAGTTATCGAATTGTGTGCACATTGAATGTAGCACGTCTCAATTTTTGTTGCAAGCAATTTTCGAAACAAGTAGAACCTCAGTTTTACAAAAGAATAAATGGGTCGGTTTCAATACACAAATATATCTGAACATAATTTCGTTTTAGTGCACAACCACTAGCACATTTAAGTTAGGAGGATAAATGAGGCTGTTACCATGCTACCTTGAAGTAAACTGTAACTTAAATAAAACCCATCTGCCATGACAGCAGCCTCCAAACCCATCAGCCATGACAGCAGCCTCCAAAACTATGCAAGCACCATGCTACCTTACTATGAACTGTAACTTGAATACAACCCATCAGCCATTCCCAAAACCTACGCAAGCACTATATTGTTCGCAAACTGTTCAAACGTACTAAACCCAGAAAGCAAAATCTGTCAGGAGAAAAGAAAAAAACAGTTTCATTCTGTTAACAATTGTACCTACCTTGCATATGTTCTTACTTTTTTTCAACATTTATAGTTTGAATTTTGACAAAATAACAAAATATCTTGAGCACATTCAACTGATACCATAGAAGATTGAGAAACTACAATTCTTTACAAAGTTCATTTTTTGGGCTCAGTACATCTAAACAGTTGGCGAACGATATGGATAAGGAATTTGTATCTTGTGCACGCTAACAAATTGCACGTGAGAAGTCAGGTTCATCTACCCCAAGTATTTAAGAGGAAATGAACAAAGCATTGAAGTCTTTGAACATAGTTTTGTATCACAAGTTTATTTATCCACTTTAGCCAAAACAGCATGTCAGGTTTTGTACTTGAAGCTGAAGTAGTTTTAATCCCCCACTGGAAAACAGTCATATACTTCCCATTTCTTCCTCCGCACCGAGGGGGAAAAGCATTAGCCATTTACTCTTTTGTCTCCTATGCCGCTCTCAGAGTATCAATCTGTGACACAATCTGGGAGAGGCACTCATCCATTGCTTGGCAGACGTCGACAACTTCTGGTGACAAAATTTGTGAAATGGGATCTGTGTGCTGCTTCTGTGGACATTAACATACATATACGTCAGGGTGAAGCAGAGAATCAAACAGCTTTTGTGGTGCAATAATCAGGCTCTTACCCTTGCATTCAAGAGACTGATTTCCAAGTGAGGAAGACATTTTATTGAGTATATGTTGGGATAAACACAGCCTAGGTCGGCCTTAACAAGTATTGAAGTAGTTTGTCTCCAAAATGACTTAAATGGTGTCAGTTGGGCATTGAACATTAAGCCTGAGCAAAGAGAAAAACACTGATGCCTCATCATATCTACTTTCATCTTCTGAAGGATCCCATTACATCCCAAAACTTTGAGACAAAATGCTACTATTATCACACCACCTCATAGTAAATTAGTAAACTCCTACTTATTCGTATATAAAGAAAAGAAATTTGAAAGCACAAATATCTCTTCATGCGACTAAAAAGTAATCAAAAAGTTCATCACCTGTACTTTGACAAAGGCTCCCCGCAGCATGAGCTTAGCCGCTGACAGCAGCCTCAGACTTTCCTGTGTACTCTTGTCCTTTGTGCACTGGACATGAACTATTCAGGGGATAGGACAAAGGCAATGGAAGATGTAGCAAATGTAATTACATTTTGAAGCATATTAAACCACCCACTGAAACTTAAAGCAATTTAATCATATGTTCAAGAACGCCATCCTGTGGTTTCTGTAATGGAAGTCCCTCTGCCATTTTGTAAACTCTAATTGAGGTACAGTGATGTCCACTATAGGCAACCCAGACATGAGCAGCCTCTGCCTAACCAGCAACCTAAGCTTGTGTAACAAAATTTCCCTATATAAAGAACCCAACGTAATAGCAATCTCATCCTCTAGCAGCAACCTTCGTTGGCAAAAATGATTTTTGATGGTTCAAAAACAGTTAGACCAACAAAAATGGCTTACAATTTCAGTGTGCATGCATCTCTCCTCTCTTGTTTATTTCCTCACAACACTTAGCCTACTTGGGCCAAAAATATACTCTTTAACCAAGACCCACCATACTTGAAGTGCCTGGCGGAGGGATCTCGGGTATGACCATTCTCATTTAAGCCACTATCATTTGAATAGAACCAAATTGCATAAAGTAAATAATAATAATAAATGACATTTATATAGCGCTCAACCCCGAATAAAGTACACAGGCTCTGAGCGCTTTACAATACAGTACAACATACAACAGTAACATGAAACGTTGTGTTCTGACTAAAGAAAATTATTCCAAATATTCATCTTATTAATTTAAAAACAGAAACAACTTCAGCTGACATTTGAATGAATCAAAAGATTTGATTTCTCTCAACGTACTTGGTAAAGCATTCCAGATCTTGGGGCCTTGGTATTCAAATGCCCTTTTCACCCATTGTTTTAAGTTTCATAGATGGTAAAATAAATTTCTTTTTGTCAGCTGATGATCTTAAACTGCGAGTTGGAATGTACAGTCTTAACAGATTTGATAAATATGATGGTGCATTATCATTCAAACATTTGTGACATATGGTGGCCAACTTGTACACAATCCTTTTCTCAACAGGAAGCCAATGCAAAGTTCGCAAAAGAGGTTTAGCAGAGTCTCGCTTTCTTTTCCGTAACACTAAACGTGCTGCATTGTTTTGGACAGTTTGAAGAAGTACACAGCGAACTAGACAAAACCTATAATATAAGAATTTCTTGAGCTGACAAAATTGACAAAGAAAATTCCTTCATCATCTTGACTAAGAACCAGGAGACTGGAGAGGGGCATGACTCAATTTTCATTCTGATGAACAATAGATATTAATTACCATGGAGTCCCTTCATATGCTCGTCACTTCATATACACACAAAGTAAACAATTCCGCCACACCTATTGTTTTCTACAGTTCCTCTTTCTCCATTAAAAAAAGAGCCACACCATACACCATATACACGGTCCAGAAACAGTTACAATAAGACTTGTTTCTGCAATTTATATATGTGTAAACAACCAGGGTATTCACTTACTTTTTGCCAGACTGACTGCCTGTTCTGCTACCTGCTTGCAAACCTCCACATCCTTCTCCCAGTCTGAGTTTTGTGTAATACACCGGTACGCTTTCTGCAGATACTGAAGAGACTGGAAGGAAAAAAAAAAATCACCGGTCCCATGCCATTGCAATCCACATATTTTAAAAAACATTATTGCCAAAGAGCAAAGCTGTTTAAAAGTAAAAAGCTGCAAAAGACAGGGCATCAAGAGCATAAATGGCTTCAACTGATTTTTGACATGATGTTTCAAGACACAACACATTCATGCAATAAACATTTGCCTGAAAGTTGAATCTTTAGCTGGTGGAATGAGAGGGTTATTTTTTTAAAGCAAGGGTGCTTGATAAAGAACAGTGGCTTCATTTAAATTACAATTTTTTTTTTAAAGATCAGAATTTGATCTTTACGTCTAACTACAAAAATAAAACTTGGAGAAAATCAATGTTTAAACTTACACAAAGTTGATCCAGCACCTCACACTTATTACCTAGCTTTCTCTCATTTCGTATCTAAATTCTATTAGAAAAAATAACTTTAGAAGTAATTTTTTGAGATTGGAAGTTAAAAAATACACACTGACTTTTCATTGTAAACAAATTTTCTTGATTAAAAGAAAAAAACCCCAATAGGGTCCATCGATCCACTCCTTTCAATAGGCGTGCAGGCGAAAATCAAAATAGCAATTTTCTCATTTTCCTGGTGGGGGGTGGGGGGTGTGTTGGTGTGTGTGTCTGTGTGTATAAGAAATACAATCAGTGTTAGCTTTCAAATACCGCAAAAATCAGATGAAGACTAACCTTTTCCATATCAGGTTGCCGGCCTCCAAGACTTGAGTTGCACAATTTAGCATAGTTCATCCAAATTTCCCCTTCAGCTGTGACCTACGAATGAAATAGAAACGAATTCGTTTGCAATGATGATAACAAGAATTAAATTGTCACAAAAACAACATTCTTATACTATGAAAAATCATTAAAAATAAAACACAGATTATAAAAATGTATTGAGGACCTCAGCTAATAAGAATAAGACTTACTGAAACAACATTTTTTGTCTCCCCATTTCAGTGTCAAATTTTTTGTATCTCTGGCAGCAGCTTCGGAATCAAGTTGCAAAGAAACTCAATTTGTTATTACAAAGAGGAAAGAAAATCCTTGCAAAAGCACACTGTGGATACAAGAGGGAAACGGAAGAAACACAAAAGGCTGGCTCAATCTGTAGACAATAGGACTAATAAGTTTCTATAAATGAGTGCTGAGATGGATGGAAGTTTATTAGTTTATCAATGGGAATTCCATGTAGACAGTGATGCTGATCTTTAAACTCAAAAGTCGATGCAAACTAATACATTGTTGCCGAAACTTGAGATCATATCTCATTGTATTATATTAGTTATCGACTACCTTTTGTCTTCAGTCCAGCAAAAATTTGATCACAATCACATGTCACCATCCTTTTGCTGGTAGGTACTAAATACCCTTCACAGCAAGGCTGATCCAAGCAGCCTGTCTCTAAAATGATCAGAACAGTGATGACGGTGGAATGAAACAGCAAGAAATCTACATTCACTGTGTTGTTCTTCTGCTTTAAAAAATTATTACATACCTTGGATGTGATCCTTCCAAACAGTTCCATAAGATTCCCAATCAGTCTTTCTGATGGCTGGCCACGGGCATCAGGCATATTTTCAAGGACAGCTCTTGTCAGGATATTCAGAACCTTTAGGAAGTTTAAAAAAAAAGGGGAATAATAATTGCAGTGGGTGACAACAACACACTCAGTACATTGCTGCCTAAGAAAATCTGAGTTTAGACTAAAAATCTTATTCAAGCCAAATCAGGGAAATCATCAATGCCGGTTACAACAGTTCATTCATCAATGTAAGAACAGCACTGAATGATGGGGTACTGTTACATATTTTATAGGCTATAAAGAACACCCCCCCGGACATTTCCATGTATGCCAATCAAGTTGTTTTTGCATGTGCTAGAGCATGTGAATTTCTAATGCCAAATGAGGGTCTGCACCAAAAAAATCAGGACCAGGGCAAGCAAAGAGCAGCGAAGAAAAAAATGATGAACAGCATTATTCATCATCATAGACTAGTAAACCAGTTTCCCCATCATTTCATCAGGTTAATCTTTTACCCTATAGTAGCCTATATTGTGTTATGGTCTAACAGTATAATTAAAAGAAGCAGATCAACTCTTTTTTTCCCCCCAAATACTTGAAGATAGGAGGTGAGAGAGAAAGAGAGAGAGAGAGAGAGAGAGAGAGAGAGAGAGAGAGAGAGAGAGAGAGAGAGAGAGAGAGAGAGAGAGAGAGAGAGGGAAGAGTCAGGAGGACAAAAAAGTGACAGAGATCTAGGCACAGAAATAGTCATTGTCAGCAGGGGCGGTTTGTTAACTGGGCAAGACCGGCGGTGCCGGGTAAAATTTTGTCAGCTGGACTGTTGACAAGAGATTTATTACTGATAATGATTTTCTTTCAGTCTAAAGTAAATCCGAATAGAAATGTATCAACATTCAAAATGCACCTTGAAGGCGTTCAAATAGACAAGTAGGATTCACTGCTGTTATGTCGCGACATAGCCTCATTCCTTCACCTTTTTTTTTATCGCACCGGCTCATAACTTTAAATCGTCTCCCGTCAAGCCGTCACGTCGCGGAACTTCGTACGAGGACAAACGAACACAGTGGGTACAGCGATGACGTCAGTCCGCTGGACAAATCCATCGACTGCCCTAAGAGCGAATATAACATCCCTGGATTGCCAAATTGGCCTCCGTGTTGCTAACAAAATCAGTAATGAGACTGTCTTGAGTCTTGAGCAGCACAGACACATGAAATATTTTATCAGCAATACATGTAGGCCTACTTATCATTCAGCCTTTCTCTAACTATCATCAAAACATTTATTGTCAACATGGCATTAATCTTCTTTGTTTATTGAATTTTTAGGCCCCTATAGTTCCTGTTTGGTGACTATTCATCGCTTTCTCCCCCCTAATAACTTACCTGGCCTGCATGAGTCTAGCCGGCGAAAAGAGGAATCGTCTAGCGAAGATATATAAGGAGAATTATAACCAGGAGCGATGCGATGGGCTCTCGGCTGTCAGAGTCTGGACCGAAAACAATGGGCATACCCCCTCTCTTTCCTCCCCTTTTCCACCGTCACCCCAGCTAGACACCAAGTTCTATAATTAGCGTTTGACACACTTCCCCACTTTGTTACAACAGTGTAATGAAAACTGAGAAGTGTGATGAAGAACGTTTGATTACATAATGATGGAAAACTGTTGTGTGCTAACGTTGTCCAGCTTTGTATAGTAACTGATTGTAGACTTAATTTGCATGGGACAGCGTCATTGGTACAGTATCAAGTTCTTATTACACATTTACATGTCGAGTGCACGTCGATATTGTGTGTGGGTGTGTAGAACGTAAAAGTCTTTGGTTAAAGTACCGGAGGCCATGACCAGCAGTTTATTGGGCTTCTCACTGTCAGTTTGTTTTCTAGCATAGACTCTAGTAGTGTTTCTTTTTCTATGCCGTTCAAGTCAGTTTCTATTAACTCAGTAACTTCCATCATACATTATTCATTATATTGTTTCTTGACGATACCATATTTCAGCTCTTTCATTATATTAAAATGTTTACAGTGTGTGTGGGGGGGGGGATGGGGATGGCAAAAGTAGAAAGAGAGAGAGAGAGA